GGAGCACAGGCTCCGGACGCGCAGGCCCAGCGGCCATGGCTCACAGGCCCAGCCGCCCCGCGCCATGTGGAATCTTCCCGGACTGGGGCACGAACCCGCGTCCCCTGCATCGGCAGGCAGACTCTCAACCACTGCGCCACCAGAGAAGCCCCTTGTCTCTCTTTTTTTTCTTTTTTCTTCTGGAACAATCTTGTGTGTGTGTGTGTGTGTGTGTGTGTGTGTGTGAGATAACAGAGCAATTTTAATTCTAGCATACAAGGATATGCTTTATAAACTTCGTGCAACTGTTGTACGCATTCAGTAAAGTGACAACTCGCAATACCACTTAGTATCTCAAAATCAGGAACATACCTTTGAATTGTTTAAACACAATCCACAGAATGAAAAACAAAATCAGAAGTCACCCACAGTTATACTAATTGTCAACTAAACGTTTTACCACTTACTACCTGATATAGCAGTCAGTATCTAGTAGGGGATATCGGAAGTGATTTCAGATTCTCATCCTGTCGTACTCTATTGGGAAGGTTTCTTGAGTAGCTATGTGACTGGCCAAAGGTGGGTACAACCAGGACCAGAACAGCATGTAAGGTTCTACCACAGTTTCTGTAGTTTTCACTTTGTTTTCCTTTGTCAGCAAAAGTGAACAGTAAGAATTAAATACTTATCTTTACATATACACGAGGTATGTTGTGAGAGCATATTTGCTTACAAACATATAAAAATACTTGTTAACTAGTTTGATAAGAAAATAACGTATAAAAGTATATAGCAAAACGTTAATCATCTCTGACCCTGGAAAGATCAATTCCATATTTTATGTTATAAACAAAAACAGTTTTAGTTTTTTGAATCCCTTACCCAGAAATACTTGAAAAGGAAGACAGACAGAAATTATTTATTTTTACTCTCAACATGGCTGTGAAAAGAGTTAAATTAAAAAACCAAGAACACTAAAATTCCTAAGTCCAGAATGAGTCCAAATATTTGGTCACATAGAATATTATCTTTAGGAATAATAGTAAAGGCTTTACATGCAGTTTTTAACCTATAAATACAATAGGCATTTTGGTATTTTGGCCACTGGAAAACAAAGGCTATAGCATCAGTAAAGGTCTGAGATGTCTCACTTTTGTGAATTCAATTCAGTGTATTTAAGGTTAACTAAAGTTGACATCAAAATTTTTAGAGATAGGCAAAAATTCACATTTTAAAAAAACTCCCTATGTTTCTATTTAGAGTAACAGTAGGCGATATGATTCCAGAAGTTAAAAGTTATTTCACAACCTATGACTTCAGCTTGGCAAACAGCTTAGGTTCCAAAGCTGATTCATCCTTATTAAAAGTAAGCCCTTAAAAAAAGAATGTGTCTGTATATATAGATATCCATTTTAAAGGAATTAATCTTTGAAGCAGCCTTAGTGTTTCCTTTAAATCTGTCTTGAATGACCATTGGATTAGCTTCATGGAAAGGATTAGCCAGCTTCTTGGTCTAAGGCTACCACGGTGATCATTTATCTAAGGCTAGAAAGGTACCGGCGTGATGTTAACTGTAAGGAGAGAGGGAGAAGATGAGGGCTTTTCCTGGCAGTTTGTAGCTAAAATTCAAGGGATTCTTAGAAAATGACACAGTGGCAGCCTTTCTTGTCGTTTTCTTTCCGTGTTGGTTCTGGTGAAGGAGGACATTCCTGCCCTTGAAATTTCCTTATAACCCGGACAAGCTCATGGAAAGCTTGATCTACATTCATCCTAATCTTTGCTGACGCCTTCACATATGTTACCTTAAGTTGTCGTGCTAACTGCTGTCCTTCTTCCTGCGTTACCTGCCTCTGATGATCCAGATCTGCTTCATTACCAATTAAAGTCATTAGAAACTCATCACGATCCTTTCCTCTGAGAATCTGTCTTTGAAACTTATAGATTTCTTCAGAACTGCCTCTATCTGTGACTGAAAAGACCAACAGGAAACCCTCGCCAGTTCTCATATACTGTTCTCTCATAGCTCCAAACTCCTCTTGTCCCGCTGTATCCAGAATATCTAGCCGGGCTGCCCGGTCATCTGTCACGCACTGCTTTGTGGAGGAATCCTCGACGGTTGGATCATAATCCGTTACAAAATAGGACTAGATGAACTGGATGGTGAGCGCCAACTTGCCGCGCTGCCCCCGCCGATTACCACGAGCCGGTGCTTCTCTTGGCCGGAGCTGTCCCGCCAGCCGGCGGCGGCCATGTGGATGCCGCCGAGCCCAGCCCGGCCACGCCGAGCCGCCGCCCGTCCTAGGCCCGGCTCCGGAGACTTGTGCGGCCGGTGGGCCGCGGGCGAGCAGCCGGGCGGGGGTCTCGGGCGCCAGGAGCTGCTGGAGGGCCCGTCCGGGTGGCAGCGCAGCGCCCGGGCTGCCTGGGTCCCGACCGAGGCACAGAGAAGCGAGGTGACCACAGCGGCGAGGGGCTTCAGTGGCCGGAGGGCGCACTCCAGCACACGTCTTCACAGTGCCAATGGAACAATCTTTAAACAACTACTTTTGGACAGAATTACTCTTTTCTTTTTCTTAACAAACACAATCCTACACTCCTTGAATACTTTGCATTCAGAGTTTTCTTCTTCACCCTTATTTATTTCTAGTAGCTTCATTTACATATATTGATTATAATTTTGAACCCTTAGTAATCTTTATTTCCCAGAGAAAACTAGGAAGTAGACAATTGTGAACTGTCATAGACCACCAGCATTGTGTAGTAGATTAGCAAATTTATCAATACATCATCTCACAGTTTCTAGAGACTTATGCTGCCCTCAAAGTACAATTTCTCAATATGACAAAAATATCATTTTTGTTCATAGACCCAAATATCTTTAGTTTCCTGTATAAATAAGAAGTCAAAATAGATAAACTTAAAGCTATGTTTAGTAATTAATGTTCCAGTATTTTATATTATTTGGAAATGATCTAGATATTTAATGGATATTTAATGGATATCTATTATTTAACTTTGTATAACTCTAAGGTTTCAAGTTACCAAAAAGATTTTGGAAAGTACTTCTAAGCAGACATACAATAAAACACAATTGTTGTTGAAATAAAATCTGTAAGAGCAATGATTTAATTTGATTAAAATAAAATCTCTAAGGAATCTTGCTCCCTGACTTCAGACTGTACTACAAAGCTACAGTAATCAAAACTGTATGGTGCTGGCACAAAAACAGACACATAGATCAATGGAACAGGATAGAAAGCCCAGAAATAAACCCACTCACTATGGTCAATTAATCTATGATAAAGGAGGCAAGAATAAGCAATGGAGAAAAGACAGTCTCTTCAATAAGTGGTGCTGAGAACACTGGAGAGCTACATGTAAAAGAATGAAATTAGAACATTCTCTAACACCATATACAAAAATAAACTCAAAATGGACCTAAACGTAAGGCCATATACTATAAAACTCCTAGAGGAGAATATAGGCAGAACACTCTGACATAAATCGCAGTCATATTTTTTTTTGGATCTGTCTCCTAGAGTAATGGAAACAAAAGCAAAAATAAACAAATGGGGCTTAATTAAACTTAAAAGCTTTTGCACAACAAAGGAAACCATAAACAAAACGAAAAGACAACCTACAGAATGGTAGAAAATATTTGCAAACAATGCAACCAACAAGGGATTAATTTCCAAAACACATATATTATATGGCTCACTATCAAAAAAATAAATAACTCAGTCAAAAGAAAAATATGGGCAGAAGACCTAAATAGACATTTTTCCAAAGAAAACATATAGATGACCAGCAGGCATATGCAAAGATGCTCAACACTGCTAATTATCAGAGAGATGCAAATCAAAATTACCATGAGGTATCACCTCACACCAGTCAGAATGGCCATTATCAAAAAGTCTATAAATACTAAATTCTGGAGAGGGTGTGGAGGAAAGGGAACCCTCTTCCACTGTTGGTGAGAATAATGGTGCAGCCACTATGGAGAACAGTATGGAGGTTCCTTAAAAAACTAAAAATAGAATTACCATATGATTCTGTAATACCATTCCTGGGCAAATATCCAGAAAAGATGAAAACTCTAATTCGAAAAGGTACATGCACCACAATGTTCATAGCAGCAAAATTTACAATAGCTGAGACATGGAAACAATCTAAGTGCCCATTACAGATGAATGGATAAAGAATATGTGGTGTATATACACAATGGAATATTACTCAGCCATAAAAAAGAATGAAATAATGCTATTTGCAGCAACATGGATGGACCCAGAGCTTATCATAGTAAGTGAAGTAAGTCAGATAAAGATGAATATCATATGATATCACTTATATGTGGAATCTAAAAAAATGATATAAATGAACTTATTTACAAAACAGAAACACATTTACAGACATAGAAAACAAACTTATGGCTACCAAAGGGGAGGAGGAGGGAGGGATAAATTAGGAATTTGGGATTAACAGATACACACTACTATATATAAAATAGATAAATAACAAGGACCTACTGTATAGCACAGGGAACTATATTCAATTTCTTGTAATAACCTATAATGGAAAAGAGCCTGAAAAAGAACATATATATACACTATCCACACACACACACACATATATATATATATCTTTGAATCACTTTGCTGTACATCTAAAACATTGTAAATCAACTATACTTCAATTTAAAAAAAATAAAATCTACTCAGCCATAAAAAGGAACAAAATTGTGCCATTTGCAGAGACATGGATGGACCTAGAGACCGTCATACAGAGTGAAGTAAGTCAGAAAGAGAAAAACCAATATCGTATATTAACGCATATATGTGGAATCTAGAAAAATGGTATAGATGAACTTATTTGCAAAGCAGAAATAGAGACACAGCCGTAGAGAACAAATGTATGGATACCAAGCGGGGAAGGGGGGTGGGGGATGGAGTGGGAGATTCGGATTGACATATATACACTACTATGTATAAAACAGATAACTTATGAGAACCGACTGTATAGCACAGGGAACTCTACTCAGTGCTCTGTAGTGACCTAAATGGGAAGGAAATCCAAAAAAGAGGGGATATATGTATACGTGTGGCTGATTCACTTTGCCGTACAACACAAACTAACACAACATTGTAAAGCAACTATACTCCAATAAAAAAAATAAAATCTGTAAGTTTTATAATCTTAAACATATAGTAAATAATAGCTTATTTGATTAGTAAACCCAAGTAGTCTGAAAATATGTTTGTATCATAATGCCGATAACTCAGAAGAAAGTTATTTTTATTATTAAACAAATGATATTAAACTAGTCTTATTTACTAAAGATTTACCCACATCATGTGAATTTGAAAAAAAATTTAGATTTCTGAGTTTTAGGAATATTTCATTTATATGTTTTTATTTTTCTCTAAGCCAATTAAAGTAGAGCTCTTTTAAGGAATTTTATAAATTAATTTGGCTATACCATCCAGGGGTAAGAAAATACCACATATACATATTACATACATAGACAGACATACGCATATATGCAGACACAAATAGAGACCTTATAGCTTTCATAGTAATCCAAAATTTATTAGTTTAGGTAAGAATTAGTGTTTGTCTTTGTCCCACTTCTTATTCAGACTATGTTTCTAGCAGATGAAATGAGTTGTTATTTGTTCAACCTATGGGCTAAAGCTTTTTACCAATATTTGTGCGGGAGACCTTTAAGACCTTTTCTTTGCCTTGATGTATAATCAGTGGGGGCTGTAGTTCAGTCTCACTCAGGTGGTTGTTTTAGTGGCCTGAGAAGTTACTATTCATTTATTTGTTTGTTTGTTGGGCTATGCCGGGTCTTAGTTGCCGCGTGCAGGATCTTTTTAGTTGCGGCGTGCAGGATCTAGTTCCCTGACCAGGGATGGAAGCTGGGCCCCCTGCGTTGGGAGCACAGAGTCTTAACTGCTGGACCACCAGGGAAGTCCCGAGAAGTTACTTTTTAAAGCCCGGGGAGTGCTAAGGAAAAAAGCACTGGGGGCTCATTAAAGGGGGATATTAATTGGTTTTTATTAAGAGGAGAAATAAATTTCTTATATTTTATGACAGAAAGCAATAGAACAATTAAAAGCAAGGGATCCCTCAGGCTGAGAGCCAGCCTAATTTCCTTGGATGTTTGCATTTTAAAGAGATGGCTCTCGGGTCCTGGAGAAGACGGTTCTGGGTGGTAGAAGATTTACATCTCAAAGAGGGAGAGGAAGAAAGCAACCTTTTAAAATAACTGCTCTAAGAGCGTTTTCAGGGGCATATTTGCCTATTACCAGATTTTGGCCGGGACAACAGTAAATTCGTCTGGTAGCACTGAGCCTTTGCAAACAGGCATTTTTAAGGGGGGAGGGGGAGAGGGGGATGTAGTAGGTGGGCAGAATTATTTGTGTTGAGAGTCTGTAGTTTCTAATTGGCCCAGGTTGAGGCCTAGTTGCAAAGAGGTTTCAGAGGAGCGGGACTGAGGAGGCTGAGGCCTAGCGTAATTACTATTTGTGTCTCTTTTTCTTAAGTTCAGGTCAGTCCCTTTTCCAACATCCTGACTTCTTAAAGTATCAGCAAGTATCTTGAGATGAATCTGGGAGGCTTTGGAACTGGTCAGAAAGATGGGTGTACTTTGGGTTACTTCTAGAGCCATATTTCTGATTTTATAAAGACTTGGTTAGTAAGGTAAGGACAGATTTTTAATTTTTTTCCCGGTACGCGGGTCTCTCACTGTTGTGGCCTCTCCCATTGCGGACCACAGGCTCCGGACGCACAGGCTTAGCGGCCATGGCTCACGGGCCCAGCCGCTCCGCGGCATGTGGGATCCTCCCGGACCGGGGCACGAACCCATGTCCCCGTGTCCCCTGCATCGGCAGGCGGACTCTCAACCACTGCGCCACCAGGGAAGCCCAGGACAGATATTTTTAATTCTTCAAAGAATTGAGTGGCAGCCTCAGTAGTGATATTAAGGGGCTGGCCTACCCATCCAACTATATTATTTTGAAATTCTTACGTATATCAGAGAGAGTTCCAATTAAGGCAGAAACCAAGATTCCTATGTTCCAGGGCTTCTGGATTTAGAGCTCTGTGTCTTTGGAATGTTTTTATAAATCGTTCAACAAAGGCTTTAGGATGTATTCCTTCCCTCTGAGTACTTCATTCCACTTTAGCCCAATTAACCTTCAGGGGAAAGGCCCAAGTGGGCCATTTGTAGCAGGGAGGTGGAGGAGGGAGTTTATGGTGGATATAGAT